TTGTCCTGTGATGGACTGGCGACCTGTCCAGGGCGTACCCCGCCTTTCGCCCGTGGATGTTTCATCTTATAAAAGTAGACTGTTAGCATTTGTTTTTGGGTTTTTTTATATAGTTGAATGGGAATAGTGTCTCCAACTGAATTCTGGTTTAAAACGTACTTAAACTGAACATATTTGTAGTAAAACCACATTGACACTCAGCACTTCTTTCCGCAGGATTCCTTTTCTTTTCTTGACGTCAAAATACTTTGTCCTTTTCAGGAATTCTGCCGGTCTCTAAAACTTGATTAAAACCTTGTTAAATCACCTACTCTAATATAATTAAAACAGATAACCTAATATTAGCATAGCACTGTTTGTTTTTAGGCAAAAACCAGACTGGACCCATTTAGATGCACTCATCAATAAGCTCCTGATGTTTTCAAGCAGAGCAGTTTATAGAATTTCTCGGCTAAAATGATTATATTTCCTCTCTGTTTTGATAGTGTCACTCCGTCAGTGTCACTCCGTCACCTCAATCATAAATGCAGGCACAGAGAGCCTTTTGTTTTCTGTTCATTCATAAACTTTGATGGTTTTCTTGAGCATTTTAAGGAAGCATATTTGGTTAGATTATTTAGCCACAGTCGGTGAAGCTGTAAAACAAGCATTACAGAGGAGGAGGTGCTGAAGCGAACTCAGTCTGACTTTTTTCTTTTAACTTAAGGGGTTTTTTTATTTGGGAAAACCCAGACTTGTTAGAGCTTGCGTAGCGTACCATTTAATGTAGCTTTGAAAGCTGTGCACATAGAAATAGGCTGTTATTTGGAAAAGTTGGCCCTGGTAAACATTCTTACAGCTGCTTAGCACCATAGAACCCAAGAAGATCTTTTTATTTTATTTTTTCCCCACTTGCCTACTTTTCTGCATTAATACCAAACCATGCCGTTATAACATTTCTCCCCCATCCCCGTCTGAACCTCTGCCTGTAATGTCATGGTATATGACTCCACTGTGTACTTTGCCTGAGCAGAGGCAGGAGTTCCTGTTGTAAACCTTGCCGCTGCTGCGACGGTCCGCTCCACCCATGGAAATGTGATTAGGAATTCCTGGACTGTGCCAGCCTCTCCACTTTAAGCCCCTTATCTTGATAAAACATCTGCCTTCTGGGCGGCTGACTGAAAAGTCCTGTTTGCAAGTGGCTTTCCTTCTATTTACAGTAAACAAAACTATGTGGGCAAAGTATGTAAGGGTCAGCACAGCAGATCTGAGGCCCTGATATGAGCCCAGTGAAATTAAAGTCAACCTACTTTATTATTTGGTCTGAATACGTTTCAAATTCCAAAACATTCCTTCTGTTTTGTTATGATTTTTTTTTTTGTTTTTTAGGTCAACCCTGGAAGCAAAGCAGCCCAGGCCAACTTGTGCATCGGAGACATCATTTTATCTATCAATGGTGAGCCAACAGAGAGCATGACTCACTTGGAGGCGCAGAACAAGATCAAGGGCTGCGTAGAGGAAATGGCGCTCTCCATTGACAGGTAGGCTGTAGCAGCATGCACCGCCCGCCCCGGCCCCGGCCCCGGCCTTGTAAAAACTGTGAGTAATGGGAGACAGCTCAGCTTTTATCCAGGTGTTCAGTGAGGGCTGTTTGCTCATGCATTAGGAGGCAGGATCTGGCCTTTTGTGTGTCTGTGTTGCAACTCCAATTTATCTCACTGCATTACATCATGGCGTTCAGGTCACAGAGAAAACAAAAAGGAAGCAGAATTAAAGCTGTGGTGTTTTTTTTTTTCTTTCATTTCGCCCTGCAGGTCTGAAAGTAAGCTGTGGTCACCACTTTCATCCGAGGAAGGAAAGACGCACCCTTACAAGATGAACCTTGCGTCAGAACCACGGGTGTGTAACGGCATTAACGTAGCGTTTAAAATTAACGCCTTAGCCCTGATGTTTAGATTTAAAACCAGAATTCATTCATAGGTACTTGTATGTTTTCTGGAAGCCTGAATATGTATTATCCACGCTTCCTGCTAAGGTTGTGGGAGTATTTTGTGCCAGAAATGAAGTCATTGTTTGCTTCCCAACAGGAGGTTTCCTAGGAGACAGTAGTTTATCAGCCAAGCTGTGACGTAAGCCTCAGTTGCTGCTCTTTCGAGGGGAAAAGTTGAGGCCAAACTGTGAATTCATGTAGGAAACTATGTCACAGGCCGTCTGTGTGTGTGTGTGTGTGTTGTGCTTTTTTCTTCATCCACCTTTTAAACACGTTTGAAGCGTTTAGCTGAAATCTATCACCTTCATTCTTGTTAATTTTAACCAGCTGCTTATAAAGTTTATAATTCTGCCAAGAATTTTCCCTATTCAACGAAGAAGCCAGATGCTTGAAGCGTGTTCTGTGTTTGGAGACATTTCTGTGTTCCCACTGTGAGGCATGAGCTAGATTTGGTGGTATTTACATGCCCACAAAGCTGCCATGCTGATGTCATTCCGTGTTTGTTGGCTCACACCCTGAAATAGAATTGGACAAACATCAATAACTCGTCCAGTTATGTTCAATAAAGTTGTCGAACCAAAAGCAAGACTTTTTGTTTGTTGTTTGGTCAAGTTTCTAATTAAGATCTGCAAAAACCTAATCCGTGTTTCTCCAGTGCATGTTTTTTCACTAAATTCATCACAAACGTACTAGTTTGCATTTTCACCGTGAGGCATGTACAAGTTCTTTTCTTTCACCGAGTTCCTCTGCAAGAACTCCGCCTGACGTGTCTCTTTAAACGTTCCTTTTTGTCCAGGAGGTGAAACACATCGGTTCATCCCACAACAGGAGCGCCCTGCCCTTCTCTGGATTTGGCCCCAAAGTCGTGACCAACCAGTACAACAGTCCGTCCGGTCTGTACTCTTCGGAAAACATCAAGGACTTCAACTCTGCTGTGGACGAAGTGAAGACGGTGGCCACAGTTAATGAGCCCAACAACAAGTGAGTCCTGATTAGATGTTACCTCGGCGCACTGGGGCCCTGAGGCAAGCTAACATAAAAAGTAGCATTACTGAAACATTTTATGTCAACTAAGGTCAAGTTAAAAAAGTAAAACTCATTATCCACATACATTATGTTGGCATAATTTAAAGTAGAAAAAAAAAAAAAGCCCTCTAATCCATAAATGCCAGACTACATAAAGCTTCATGTTCTTAGTTTGACATAATGGATTCCAGGAGTGTAAAAGTACAAACCCTGATTATAAGTTGCCATTTGGCATGTTTTAATTTTTAGATGGGTTCAATCAAGAAAGAGTAATTGGCAGATT